TATTTGGTCACCTACAAACAAGCAAGATTTCTGGCTCTCACAGACCTGTAACTTCTTCTTTAAGAGGCTCCTCTGTCCTCCACTCGTTACCTGTATTAATGCAACCTGTTTGAACTTGTTATCAGTATAAAATACACCTGTCCACAACCTCAAACAGTCACACTCCAAACTCCACTATGGCCAAGACCAAAGAGCTGTTAAAGGACACCAGAAACAAAATTGTAGACCTGCACCAGGCTGGGAAGACTGAATCTGCAATAGGTAATCAGCTTGGTTTGAAGAAATCAACTGTGGGAGCAATTATTAGGAAATGGAAGACATACAAGACCACTGATAATCTCCCTCGATCTGGGGCTCCACGCAAGATCTCACCCCGTGGGGTCAAAATGATCACAAGAACGGTGAGCAAAAATCCCAGAACCACACAGGGGGACCTAGTGAATGACCTGCAGAGAGCTGGGACCAAAGTAACAAAGCCTACCATCAGTAACACACTACGCCGCCAGGGACTCAAATCCTGCAGTGCCAGACGTGTCCCCCTGCTTAAGCCAGTACATGACCAGGCCCGTCTGAAGTTTGCTAGAGTGCATTTGGATGATCCAGAAGAGGATTGGGAGAATGTCATATGGTCAGATGAAACCAAAATAGAACTTTTTGGTAAAAACTCAACTCGTCGTGTTTGGAGGACAAAGAATGCTGAGTTGCATCCAAAGAACACCATACCTACTGTGAAGCATGGGGGTGGAAACATCATGCTTTGGGGCTGTTTTTCTGCAAAGGGACCAGGACGACTGATCCGTGTAAAGGAAAGAATGAATGGGGCCATGTATCGTGAGATTTTGAGTGAAAACCTCCTTCCATCAGCAAGGGCATTGAAGATGAAACATGGCTGGGTCTTTCAGCATGACAATGATCCCAAACACACCGCCCGGGCAACGAAGGAGTGGCTTCGTAAGAAGCATTTCAAGGTCCTGGAGTGGCCTAGCCAGTCTCCAGATCTCAACCCCATAGAAAATCTTTGGAGGGAGTTGAAAGTCCGTGTTGCCCATCGACAGCCCCAAAACATCACTGCTCTAGAGGAGATCTGCATGAAGGAATGGGCCAAAATACCAGAAACAGTGTGTGAAAACCTTGTGAAGACTTACAGAAAACGTTTGACCTGTGTCATTGCCAACAAAGGGTATATAACAAAGTATTGAGAAACTTTTGTTATTAACCAAATACTTATTTTCCACCATAATTTACAAATAAATTCATTAAAAATCCTACAATGTGATTTTCTGGATATTTTTTTCTCATTTTGTCTGTCATAGTTGACGTGTACCTATGATGAAAATTACAGGCCTCTCTCATCTTTTTAAGTGGGAGGACTTGCACAATTGGTGGCTGACTAAATACTTTTTTTCCCCACTGTATATAGGCTTCCCCCCTGTAATTCTTAATATAACCTAAACAAATCCATTAACCATCCTGAATAATTAACCCCAATTCCTATTCCTATGTCACCAATATCAATTAGTGTTGGCTATCTTACCACAACCCATCAAATGCAAGTAAATGCAAGTTAGTCATCTTCAGACTAAAATACCCATAAACAAAGCCTTCTAACCTTACAACCCTTCAATACTCCAATTCCCATAACCCCTTGCTCTATTAGCTCTAATTATCATAAATTTACAGAAGAATCCTCAATCCATCCTGGATTCCCAACACATCTGTAATCAAACCTCAATGATACACAGCCTCCAAAATGCAATTTTTAATGAAATAGTATTTGCCAAGCCCATGTAAAATCGTCATAACATCACATATCTTGTAACAGTAACCTTTTTATGACTTGATCCTCTGCTGCGTCACGTGATCACTTCCTGTATCTCCTCGCTCCCCCTCTCTCCTGTCTCTCATGACAAGGGACAAAGACACAAGAACAGCTTTTAGTAGTTAATGCCATCACTGAGTATTTCCAACCATTCAATATTCATTCGTTCTACATTATTCACTCTAAGACTAAACTCAGAACTAAATAGATCGCTCAAAAACATTTTTTATTTTAATCCGTCTTTTAATTATTTAATTCAATTTATTATAATCCGCTACCATATATCTAATTTATAAATTTACTACATCTCAACAAATAGTTTCACGTTCGAATAACAGCCGTTTAACACCTAGGAGATTCTTTCCAAACTCTCTATTCGGTGGCTATTTTCCCCTTCAGACCCCCCCAAATGGGACCTATGACCCTTACCCATAATGCCGTGTTTTGTAGGCTTAGCACATAACCACATGTTGTAGTTTTTAGCCCCGTAAAATCAACACGTGTCCTAATCTCGTGTCATAAACTCCCCCTTTCTGTAGGGTAGTGTCGCAAAATTAAACGCATGCGCACAACCATTCAAAAATCCCTTTTCACCGTGAAAGGAAGATTCTCTATTCTCTCTCCCCAAACAGACAGAATCACACTCCAGCTATAACTCCCGTTTCCCCCTTATAGTCAAACAACATTTAACAGCGCTCACAAAACATATAACCTGACTTAAACACAGAGACAAATTTAAGAGACTTTAATCCATCGCAATGGAATCTCTAAGGATACGTTAGCATGTAGCACGCAACACAATTAGCATTAGCATTAGCCTCTAGCCACGATGTACCATGTAGCATGAAACACACTCCCATTTAGCCTTGTAGCATTAGCCTCTAGCCAACTGCAGCCTACAACATGTAACAAACCCTGCACTGCCCTATCAATTTTAACATATTTATCCTACCGTTTTTGCTACCGGGACTAATGACCATTACACCGAGAAATCAGACCCAATCAAACGCCCCGTCGGACGAGAGTCAAATCATAATTACAATCAGATAAACCCCATGAATCCGAGCTCTCTGTAAGAAAAGAAACCCACCGTCCACCCATTCTATCGTGTAAACGGATTTGTCGGCCCGACATCTAAAATGGCCCCCCCTGGAGGTCTTAAATGGTACAGTGCCCTAAAGAATGCGCATATCTGAATTTACCAACCATTGTCACCCGTTACCAATGAATTATACACTTTCAATACTTAAATCCTACCGTTTAATGCTCTACATTCCAATTATCTGCCGTTTCAATGGAATAAATTTTAGCAGACTCCAGTCGACCAGCAATAACACCACCGAGGCCAGGTCATATGGAACATCTCCTCAGCGTACACAAGTCATATCCAATCTAACCAACTCCGAAGCGGTAAGAACACTCACCCTTTTTCCGACCATGCTTCAGAGAGTTAGCCTGGCGGTTGACTGAAACACAGAAGAGACGCAAACCCAGCCCCACGTTGGGCGCCATTATGTCGTATATGATGAGTGGTGGCAATTATTGCTGTCAACAAAAAGTCCGCTATGCTGCATCGTGTTCGAGGCTTTTATTAAAATCACGAATTTACAGCATAGATACAGACTCGCGATGTCCGGAGAACGGCTCCCCAGATTGTTATGGCCGTTCTGCCGTCTCATCGTTTACCCCCTATTTATAAACAATGCAAAAAGAGGAGTGACTCCCCTCTTATGGCCAATCACCAGTCTCCCCTCGGGCGTCACCCTCCAAGCGGCACATTTCAAATAACATCATAAAACATCCCCCCTCTGGCCTGAACAACCAACATTCTTTCAGTTCCCTCTAAAACATTTAACAAAGGCATAATCTTCAGATACGATAATGTCACCTGTTAAATCAAATTTAATCAGCATAGATTTGTATTTGTATTTATTATGGATCCCCATTAGCTGCTGCCAAGGCAGCAGCTATTCTTCCTGGGGTCCAGCAAAATTAAGGCAGATATACATTTTAAATACATTATGAAGCAGAGGAAACAGGTTAAAGAAGGATTTTTAAGCCTCGAGACAATTGAAACATGGATTGTGTATGTGTGCCATTCAGAGGGTAAATGTGCAAGACAAAATATTTAAGTGCCTTTGAACGGGGTATGGTAGTAGTTGCCAGGCGCACCGGTTTGAGTGTGTCAAGAACTGCAACGTTGCTGGGTTTTTCACGCTCAACAGTTTCCCATGTGTATCAAGAATGGTCCTCCACCCAAAGGACATCCAGCCAACTTGACACAACTGTGGGACCCATTGGAGTCAACATAGGCCAGCATGCCTGTGGAACGCTTTCGACACCTTGTGAGTCCATGCCCAGACGAATTGATGCTGTTCTGAGGGCAACATGGGGTGCAACTCAATATTATGAAGGTGTTCCTAATGATTTGTTCACTCAGTGTATAGTCAAATATTACTTTCAACTTTTCCTTTGTAAAGAAAACGACAAAGAGAAAATTCCAACTAATCGTGTTGTCGTTGCTCGTCAAAATTGCATCACCAGCAGGTGAAAGTTGGTAACGTAATTGTTTAAATTAAAAGTAGAAAGATGGGGGGTAGTGACGCTGACGTTTCCTTTTCACTTTTCATTTGTAGCGCAACAGCAAATACTTGCAGGAATCCCGCGAAACAATATTTCAGACTAACTTAGAACGAAACCCATTAAATTGATTTCTTATGTGGGTACATTTCTGATGTTTGGGTATTATTTCGTCTTCAACGATTTTGTCATCAGACTTTTTTATCAAGTATTTTTTTTGGGCGGTTCACGCAAAGTTAATGGCAGTTAAAAGCCTAGCTCGCGTGTAGCCTATTCTCGCGAATAGCCTATATCTAAATATAAAAACGTATATTATCGTGGTTCAACTCTCATTCAACTCTGGGATTTGGTCGTCCAGAAGACGGACCAGGCATGGAATTCCTTTGGCTGCCTGTGGTAGAGTCTGGAAAGTTAAAGTCCCCGCCTCCGGTAGGTTGATCTGGTAAATTCTCCATACAGTTTTCACTTTCCCAACTCCACATAAAACTCCTTAACAGAGCCAAAATGTTCAAACTCAACTGGAAAGTTAAGAGTGAAGCAAACTACTATTTACGATGTATACAATAGAGAGCTGGACGTGTATTTGTCTTATTCTTTGCAGTATGCAGAGCGTGTGTCATTGCTGTGACTGGATCCCACACCACTACGGCCTCTTGAGCGCAGAATACCTTTCCCTGCTGGACCAGATGGTGAGTTATCAGCACACTGTATTGAAGACTGAATAGATGTATTCAGGAAAGCGATCAACCAAGCAAAATAATAATATGTTTCATGTTAGAAGACTGTTAGCCTATATTTGAATAGCCATAGTAAAAGGGTGCTTGGCTAGTACGACAGAGCGATCACGAGAGGCTATCTACATTAAGCCTATACTGTCCGTGCAGTTTAAGCTATACTTTTTGACACGTGACTTAACATACTGTATTGATTGTTTTCCAGGGAGAAGATATTACAGAGCAGAATGCCTTTGTCTATTTCCCCGAATCCAGGGGCGGCCTGTTCAATAGGGCGATATGGGCGACGCACTGCCAAACGGGAAAAGGAAGGGATTTTTTTTCTAATCAATTATATCACGGCAACAGTAGTTATCAGTGTTGTAATCTATACGTCTGATCTGCCACAGTGCCACACTGCCACTAAATGTCGAATCAGGCTAAAGTCGTGCTTCAAATGGCTCGCCCCCCTTTTGGGGCGATTTCAGTCAGGTTGAAAATCGCCCAGAAGTCTCTCATAGCCTCTAATGTAAAATCTATTTTTTTCAAATTTCAGAGCCTTCAATACAATCTCTATGGGTGTCTGAGGGCTTGCACTTACGCGCTTTCGTCATACGTAACGTAACGTAACCATGAACGTAACTGAGAAAAGAGCGGATTGTGTCTTTGAAAGAAGTTCCTTTTTGTCGGCGAACAAATGAAGATAAATTGGCAACGAAACAATTAGGACCTCCCAGACCAAATTTAATAATTCAACAGGTTTCTACTAAAGGCGGAAAGTCCTACACCCGAGGATTTTCCAAAAATTGGTACGAACGGAAAAATAACATTGCCACTCAACTTGATGAGGGATACAGGCTAGCTGTCCGCCGCCACAACGATGAGGTTAGTGTTGATAATCACAAGTTTACTGGAGAACTGAGACCAAGTAGAGACTTTGGACAGGGTGGATATGGTATAATAAAGGCAGTTTATTCAGAGGTAAAGATATCTGGAATCGCGTGCACGGACCCGTTCGTCAAACTCTTAGGGAGCTATAAATTAAGCCCCATTACTTACCATATCAGATAAGAGAAATTGCTGCAGCTACATATATTTTACATCCTGGCCCTACATAGTTCACTATTTGCATCACTTACCAAAATATTACATGTGGTCATATATGCTTGGAAAGTGGAGATGCCATAGAACGTCAAAAAAGTAAACATTGCTGGAGACACATTGCCGTTTTGGAGAAGACATCGCGTTTGCTAGCGAAGAGATTTGTTGTGGCAAATGAACTTGGGCTGGGAATTGCCAGGAACCTCACGATAAGATATATGCATCAGCATTGCGAGTCTCATGATTCTATACGTATTGCGATTCGATACTGTGATTTTATTGCGCACCATATGTCTGTTGCAGAGGGATCAGAAAGCCATGAGAATGAGTTTTGATCAGTCATGGAAATAAAAGTGCTGAAAACAAATTGGCTCCCAATGTGAAAAGATTGAGAACAAGCTATGAAGGAACAATAATGGTGTTTTGGTGCAGGTACAGCCAACTAGCGCTAAAATATTGCGATATTGTCAATACAGTATATCGTAAAGTATCACTATGTAACTCGATTTCTTTCACCCCAATCCCTCAAATTAACGGTAAATAACTGAATTGTTTGCCCCACATTTAGCTAAGATGATTAGCTAGCCAGCTAAAATGTTTTATTTAGTTAGCAGTCGCATCTACAATAGTTTACTGTCAATAACATGTCTCCAAAAATGACGTGGTGTCTCCAATTGTGTTGACATTTTACAATTGCGATGCGCATCCATGAGTATCCACTTTCTGTAGCTCAGCTGGTAGAGCATGGCGCTTGTAACGCCAAGGTAGTGGGTTCGATCCCCGGGACCACCCATACACAAAAATGTATGCACGCATGACTGTAAGTCGCTTTGGATAAAAGCGTCTGCTAAATGGCATATTATTATTATTATTATTATTATCTGAAGAGAGCCCCGAAACATTGTGTGCAGACATTTTATGCAATAAATGAAGTAGGTTGAATCTAGTAGTTCTGATCTTCTGATTGGTCCTGATGAGTTGGGCGAGGTCCCCTCCAGGCTACTGTCACTGTTGCATTGGCTCTGAGTCGGGTTCTCTGTCTTCAAATGTTCAGCCTAAGAGAGGGGATTTTTGTGTGTGTGTGTGTGTGTGTTTAACAGTGATGATGTGTGTGTGTGTGTGTGTGTGTGTGTGTGTGTGTGTGTGTGTGTGTGTTTAACAGTGATGATGTGTGTGTGTGTGTGTGTTTGTGTGTGTGTGTGTGTGTGTGTCCTCAGAGCAAGAACTCGTGAGTTGGAAGAACTGAGAGGCCTATGGCGTGGGTGTTGTCCTTGGCCACCTGCTGACAAGGCTGACAAGATAGGACCCTTTTGTCCATTGTTATTGGATAGGAACAGAACTTATAACCAGCTCCTGACCTAAATAGATCTTAGCACAACATTTTACTCAACATATCATATTCCATATTCACTATAACAAATATATTTACTACGACATTAGCAAGAACCGCCACATCCTCAGCCGGCTAATCCAGTGTGTGAAGTTTTGCGGAGTGTTTGAGTTAGCTTTGCGAGGCAAAGATGAAACTGAGGGCTCCACCAACCCTGGTAAGCCAACACTTTTGAGATCAGTCAATAAATGCTTCTGGTATTGACTTATATGCTGCCCCTGTCTTCATGTTGTTGCTGGACATATCTTTTTTTAAATGTGTGTAGGTCACCTAAATCATCAGAAAAATTGCCCCCCCTGAGAATTTTTTCAGGAGCCGCCACTGCCCGAATCACTTTACAGACCCATATATGATGCCAAGGTAAAAACTAGAATTTTGACTTCTCATGTTCTGATATGCTTTAGTATAGCGGTCTTGACCCAACGTTACATTGATGCCATAATTGAAGCCTATACTGTTTCTAATCTTCTTTTCATATCTTCGTGTGTAGTTTGATGACAAAGTCAGATTCCTGAACGAGACCATCTTTCAAATCACAAAACTGTTTCATGGGAATATGAAGCTTGTCACCTGGAACAAAACAAACCTGACCAATTTCGTCTACAATCTCGAACGCCAATTTAAGAACCTTCAGTCCTGTGTAAGTAACGACTCAATTTAAAATATAATCCCTGTTTAGGTCAGGGCTCTCCAACCCTGTCCATGGAGAGCTACCCTCCTGTGGGTTTTCGCTCCAACCCCAGTTGTAACTAACCTGATTCAGTTTATCAACCAGCTAATTAATCAGGTGTACTATATTAGGACTGGAGTGAAAACCTAAAGGTCGGTATCTCTCCAGGAACAGGGTTGGAGAGCCCTGGTTTAGGTGTAGCCGACAAACTGTACAAGTGAGAAAATCTATATGGGCTATTATGTTCAGTGGGAGGCTAATGTTTTAATTTTGTCCAACAGGTATCACCTGACAAGAAACCTGAGTGGATACTGAAAAGCTACTTCATGATGTTGAATGATGTTCTGATAGAAATGGTGAATTTGGTTTCGAATTGCAATGTGTTTAATACATGTAATCAAATGAATATAAACTAGGCTAGGCTAAACAGGAGCAGTTTTAAAACACTTTTTGGTTCTGGGACCATATGTATCAAGCGTCTCAGAGAAGTGCTGATCTAGTGCTGATCTAGTATCAGGTCTCCTCTGTCCTTATCTATAGTGACCTAAAAGGCTAAACTGATCCTAAATCAGCACCCCTACTCTGAGAAGCTTAATACATACGGCACCAGGCCTTTATTTGTTGTTGTTATAGTGTGGACACTATATAAATAATTACATTGAATATGTGTTGTACTTACCTGCAGTATAGTATGATTGCTATTCATGTGTGCATGGTTATTATTGGCATTGACCGTGACCTTTCCCCTTTGATGATGTCATCACCAAGAGTCAGATCTGTACAATGTGATTATACCACAGGTTGAGTGGGCTGTATCGTTCTGATGTTTTTGTACCGTTTGTACATGGCTGTACACCTTTTATTTATTGGGTTGAAAGTAAAGTAAAGTAATATTGAAATGCGTGTGGGCATTCCTTGTCAAGTTACTACAGTTGATCAAGACAATATGATCATTATATTGGCCAGAAAGTCCACACCATTAATATTTACATGTTCATTTGTTTCTCAGCACTACAGTGAACCGGCGTGGGAGCTCATCAGGAGAGAGACGAAACTTCTTCTGCAAAGATTGGATATCCTTGTGGGACAGATGCACTGATCATCCAGACTCATCTCAGAAGCTACGCCCTTACCAGTTTATAAAGCATGAATACAATCATGTGGGATCCTGTTAGTCTATTTATTATATTTAAATGCATAAATTATTGTTTTTATTTTTATAAATTATTATTTATATTTTGTATTTCCCTTTTGTACCTGTGTTGAACTGAACTGTTTTACCTGTCTACTTGAAAAACCTGTACAAAAATTAATATAGGAAATGTGAATAAAAATATCCGAATTTCATTCCTGTCTAAAACCAATGAGTGGATTTATAATATTGAGTGGTCTTGTCTAACCATCAGAGGGGATTCTACATCAGCACATTAAACTTGTTGCTGATCATAATTCTACTTTAAGTGTATGTATTCTTGTAGTTTTGTTTCTTTGTGTAATTTCTTTTTAATGTGTTTTTGTGTTTTGTAGTTTGTGAGGGTTACTGTTATTTTTGTTTTTCTTGTTTGTTTTTGTGTGTCAATCACACTGGGCTGAAGGTGGTGGGGAGATCTGGGTGAGGAGTAGAGGATAATCTGGGGGACCAGGAACTTTTAGCTCCCACTTGCCATTGTGGGATGTTCATTTATAAAGACTGTCCATTGCATTTAACACTTGTATGTCTTACTATGATTGGAGGAAAAATAAGAAAAAAGACATGGAAAGACAATATGGAAAAAGAGACAAAAAACGAAAAATACTTTTAATAGATAATAGTTTAGTCCCCTGATTGAGAAAAGGTGGTGGTGGGCAAAAAATAAAAATAAATCATTGATTTAGCTTAGTCATATATCAAAAAATATATATAACTTTCAAGTTGCATCCTAATACTATATCTCTTAACGGATAAATTAGGTCAATTCCTGTATGACATTAGAAAAAAATATGTACTACATAGGCCTACGAGGCACCCACAGTCCTTTCATAAGACTTGGAATTCCTGAATAGAACAGAGATATTGTAGATATGTATCCATTTATATAATGGTATGAGGTTATTTGGGGTAACATCTAGAATGGTGTGTATGTGTGTTTACATTATATGGTATAGTACTCATATGTGCTGTATCTGAATGTTTTGCTGTAAGTTTGGTGTATTTATTTAAAAAATACTTGGGTTGTGTAAAGTATATTTTTTCAAGTGAAGATAATCCAATGAGATTATCACCACTGACGTTTATAGGCTTCACGGGAATGTTTCGGTACACCGTGTTAACTTCTATAATCAACATTCTTTAGAGTCTCATCATAAGACTTATTTAAAGTGAATAACACAGCTAGCTACTCGGTTGTCCCATCTCGCTTGGCTGTCAGGAATTTTGGGAGGCGTTTATATAGGCTACATATTGATGCTTGTCTCATATTTCCAGACCGATCTTTCTAATACTTAGTGAGATTTTGTTGTGTAGCCGACCATCATGATAACCAGTTTGACATGGTGGAGTGTTTCGTTTTGCTTATGTATGGTGTGTATCTGACGATGGGATGCACATGGAAGGATGCTCGTCTCAAAATCCTAAATAAGCACAGCATCAAACTTCTTCAATATTTGGTGAGTTGGCTGACATAAACCATTGATGACTGTGTCCGAACATTAAACGTAGCCTAATTTCTAATTCTGGGCACAATTGACATCTTGGCTCACCATATCATGTTTTAAATACCTAGGGTGGTCGTTTTCCGGTGCAGTGCTTGCAAGAGAACGTGAACATCCAATTCAACATGAATTTGTTATTTGAAGACACCCGTAATCAACAGGTAGGTTAAGTCTGTAACTTTTACAGTAGCCAAATAATTTCCTTCAATGGAATGATTTTTATAGCACATTGATATAGATCCACTTATTTTTCCCAATAGAGAGAAATGGTTTTGACTGCATATATCATTTTAGGTCAAGTGAGAAAGATATTTGCTCAACCTCTTCAGCCTCTGTCATGGAACAAAAGTCACCTGGATTACTTTAGAAATATAATTTTCCGACAGACAACGAATTTATCTGAACACGTGAGAATGGTTGTTTGCCTGCAAGTTGAAACGTCTTCCCTGATATGACAATACCACTTACTAAATTGAATCGTTTCACACAGTTAAATGAAGATGATAATTCTACCCAGTGGCGAACCGTCACCTGTTTTGAGCCCCACATTTTTAGCAAAAAAATAAATTAAATAAATATATTTTTTGCGGGGGTTGCCTGTTTTTCATATTATTTTCTCGTTAATACTTGTCACATATCAGTTTGCAAACAATCCAGCATGATTTCTGCCGCGCTCAAAACAACTGTTAACTCAGGGAAAAACGAGCTCCGATTGGGAGAATAAGTTTTGAATGGTCATCCAACTCGGAATTGTTAGTCGGGAACTCGGGCCTCTTTCTAGAGCTACGACCTGAAGATCACTGACGTCATCATGATTCGACTTGTATTTATCAGAGTTACCAGTTGTCTTGAAAGCACCATAAATCCAGAGAATGCCAGACTTTGATGACAAAGTTTGATGACAACATTTGCCCATGAAACACCGCCGCCCCACCTTCCTGTTCAAGTGAGCAGAGCACAACAAGGTGAGTCGAAAAATGTATTGTATGCTGCTGCATAAATGATGTAATATGCCAGGGAGATATGTATACTGTAGCTAAGAAAGTAATATTAAGTGTATGTTGTGTAGTAAGCTATTAGTAGCTCATGTGCCTCACCCTAATAATTTGGTCTATTTTCCCCTCTTAATTTCGCCTACTGTTCTGATTTGGTGGTGCACATGTAGCCTATAACCTGTTTAAGAGAATCATCAAATATTGTAAGAGCTTTCATTGTCTGCTTATATGCCCCCTTTATTTATCCTACGTTTCTGACTTTGTGGTCCGGGAGAACACTGTAAGAACGGCCCATGTTCTGAATTCTGTCGCTGTACATTTCAAAAGTGCTGAACAAATAGTTATATTGACTCCGTCCGTCCTAGCTTGCTCATTAATGTCAATATCAAAATTATGGATTGCCTCTTATCCGCTTGTTGTCCCCTTATGCCATAGTTTGTACATCCCAATTGTCAGCAGAAACCACATTTGTTTAAGCAAGTCAGCCATATCAGCTATAAAAAAAATAAGGCAGTAAATGAGGCTGAATGAACTGTTTCGCTGCCAGACAAGGCTCCGCTTATAGCCAGGTGTAGCAGTGGCAAGGTATTGGTACTGCTGTTTGGACTCTGCTGTTGGGGCAGATTTATGTAGGCCCTAACAGTTTGTGGGCACCGTTTGTCACCGTTATAGTGCAATTAATGTATTGTTTAGTGTTGTGTTGTGTTGTGTAGTGGCTTTGCTGGCATGCATCCCCAACATTTTTGTCGTGTTTGCCCCGCAAAGATTTACATGCTAAAATCGCCACTGATTCTACCATTGGACACGTTTTCATGGAGCAACTATGTCGTTCTACAAAACGTTACTTCAGCAAAAAGAAGCAACTTCTAAAGCAAAATGTTAAAATACAACAGTAGCTTATATTAGACGGTTTTATTTGAATCACTGTTTCGTTCTTCCATTTACTCATTTCAATTTACTGTGGGGTTTTGTCGTTTCAGGACAACAGTCGTTTCAGGACAACAGTTATTGTGCTTCGGAGATTGTTCGAAATGAAATCGAGTCTATGCACCACGAATGAGCAGATGATATATGTGCATTTAATAACACGACTGACTGTAGGCTACCAAAATAAACATGTTGACCCATTTAACACATTTGCAATTCATTGACTGCACAAATAAAGTGGAATTCATCTCACGTTTGAAAATAATAATTCATTTGTTGATAGGCATACAATGTTGCTCAATCAATACCATG